CGTCAACCAATTATTTCTGTATGTAAAGGATTCTGTATGTAAGAAGCTTGGTTTAGAGGAAGTGACTGTCTCTGGGGTCGTTTACCCACAAGGACAGATCACGCCGGTGGCCTACCTCTCAAGTAGGCGCCACGTCGTAAGGCGTTTCAAGCGTTTCCGGAAGGCAATGGCCTTCCTCTCTGAACCCGCCACTGGATATGAACCCATCTCAAAATGCCTTACGACGTGGCGCCTCCTGGAAGATAGGCCAATCATGTGTCCTATTTAAAACACTACCACCTAAAAGCCTAACCATTGCCAAGACGAGGTCATGGATCATGGATTCGCCACTGACTTTAATGAGGAGTGAAAACTCAGACAGCATATAATATTTACAAAATATTTTAGAAATATAGATATTAAATATTTTATAAATATTTTAATATCCGCGATTTTCAGGTGTGAAAAAGATTATGATAAATATGTAAAAATATATCTTAAAAATATTTATCAAACTATTTCATAAATATTTTAAAATATTTATCGTAATGTCATAATCCTTTTAATACCTGAAAATCACGGACATTAGAATGTTTATAAAATATTTAATATCTATACATGTATTTCTAAAATATTTTGTGAAATGAATATTATGAACTGTCTAGGGAATTTGGAAGAATATCATTTACCTTACAGAAGTCCATCATTCCTTCGCCACATACAAAATCAAAGGGGAAAAGGTCGCGGCAACACATCATCGCCAAATCCCGTGCAAGAAACCAGCGATCATCTCGCACTAAGGTGCCGGTATTTTTTCGTTGCAAGCTGAAGAAATTTGTAAGAGTTGCATTTTTATGAGTTTTTTTAACCTCATCTATCCCATGGTCATCTTTGAGGTGGCGAGTGAGGTTGCCGGTGCTGACCGAGAAAGAATAACTCCTAACGGCGAAGCTGAAAAGAAAAACTCGTTAAATTTTTAGCAGTAATAACTGTGTTCAACAAGTGACGCTGCGTGAATAAGCTTCACCGAGCCCAAATTAAACATGAGTAATGAGTAAAGTGGAACGCACCTTACCTGCCAAAAAGTTCAAGGACAACTGGAAGAGGAAGAGAACCATCGACATCAACGTCTTCTTCTCGCAGCTGATTTGGTGACGTTGCTGGCTCTTGAGCTTTCTTGAGACACGGACAACAAAACACTTTGTCGCAGGCAATATGCTTCCTTTTCCCGTCCTTTGTATGAAATAATTTCCCGAAAAAATCCCAACATTTGCTTGACTTTTCTTTCGACGCGAGTGGTGCGACAGATAACTCACCAACTGGCAGTCTGTTAATATTCACGGCACCGTCTGCCATGATTCATAGCACACAATCACGTGACTTTGCGTCCGCCCGCACGTGACTGCCTGTTGCCACCAGAGATGACAGTTTGGATTTTGGAAGCTCTGCCTGGCAGCCGGGCAGAGCTTCCAAACTGGCATCTCTGGCTGCCACCGAGTTCCGAGTTCGGCAAACTTCGGTAAGTCTTCGGCTCTCGGCTCCTTCCTTCCCTCCCTTTGGCACGTAAAGTCTATCACACAATGCCAGGCAACAGGCAATAGGAATAGGGAATAGAATTTTTGACGCGTTGGATTCGTCGGAAATTTTCTTCCAACCAATCCAACGTGTCAGAAATTCTATTCCCTGTTCCTATTGCCTGTTGCCTGGCATTGTGTGATAGGCTTAAGCAGTCGGACCCACTTCGGCGCGACACTCGGCCAACCACAGTCGTCGTAAGAGGGGTGGAGGGGGGTGACGATGGAGCATAATTAGCTCAGCAAATCAAGCGCACGCGCGATTTTTGAATATG